ATATATATATATATATATATATATATATATATTAGCGTATCTTAGTTGCTTACTGTCTAGTCCCTATCCTCAATAACCCACTTTCATGCCTGTCCATTAACACGTTCGCTGCCGCCTGACGCACATGCGCTTCACGCGGCTCGTGCTCTGGGAACCGGATGACGCACATGTGCGTCACCCAGTCTTGTCAGTTTTGCCTGTCTGAACTGGTTGGCACTAGTAGTATTCCTTCTCGCTTCAGTGGCACTTGGATTGAAGTTAAAGTTATTTGTGAGCGAGTTTGGTTTTCATCCCAGTGGTTTTCAAAGTGTGGTATCATGGGTGATAAAATTGACATGATTCCGGGTCCTTCGCGACCAAAGCTACCACGACATGATGCAGAGAGAGCGTACAAGGAAGATAAAATTGCTGATCTATTAGAAGCAATATCCTTCTATTCTGACAGTGACCTCAACAGTTCTAGTGATAGTGTTAGCACCAGTGAATCTGACATTGAAAATGGCTCTCCAACCAGTGAAGTTACTTCTACACCTGCCCGATCCTCAAGCCCTTCTTGGTCGGATGGAACTCCTTTGATGAAAAAAATTAATTTTACTGGTGTGCCTGGGCTGAAAACTGAAGTTGGTGGTAATGAACCAATATATTTTTTCAACATGTTTGCCTGTGACAAGTTTTATGATCACGTAAGAGAAACTAATATGTATGCTGAGGAAGTATATCTTGCTGGAGTTGAGAAGCAGTCAAGGATAAATGATTGGAAAAATGTTATGGTAGCTGAAATGAAGGTCTTTTTGGGTCTTCTATTTCATATGGGCACAATCCAAATGCCTTATCTCCAGGATTACTGGAAAATTGACCCACTCTTCAAAATGGAGTGTTTCTCTTCAAATATGAGTAGGAATCGCTTTCTGATCATTTTACGATGCCACCATTTTGCCACAAACCCGAAACCTGGGGATTCCACTCCTGCTGATCGCTTAGTGAAGATAAAGCCTCTATTAGACCTGTTCAACAATACCATTGATTGTGTATACTACCCAGGCAAGGACATTTCACTTGACGAATCAATGGTTTTGTGGAGGGGGCGATTGGTTTTCCGGCAGTGCATCAAAGGCAAGAAGCACAAATATGGTATGAAGTTATACATGCTGACAGAACCCAACGGTATGATACTACGTGTCATAATATACACAGGACAACTGGATGATCTAGGTGGCAAGGGACATGCTGTGAATGTTGTTCTCAATTTGATGAATGAAAAGCTAAACGCTGGACATTCACTCTACATGGATAACTTTTACAACAGTTATGATCTAGCGTTACAGCTGCTGCATGCTAACACTTACTGCACTGGAACACTATGTGGTGATCGTAAAAACAACTCCACACAAGTGACCAAATCAAAACTTTCAAAAGGCGAACGTAAATGTCAGCATGCCAATGAAGTGGTTGTGACAAAATGGAAGGACAAGAGAGATGTTCTGTTCATTTCGACAGAATTTGAAGATGTCATGGTTGATATGACTAACAAGAGAGGTGAAACAGTAAAAAAGCCGAAAGGAATACAACAATACAACAGGTATATGTCAGGTGTTGATCGGCAAGATCAAATGCTGTCATATTTTCCTAGTGAGAGGAAAACAATTTGATGGTACAAGAAAATAGGGATACACATATTCCAAATGATGCTGCTCGACGTATACAGCCTGCATTGCATATACTCTGGAGGAAAAAAAATCATTGTATGATTTCAGACTTGCAATTATTCGGCACCTATTGTCTTCAAACACTACTCCAACGATGAAGCGCAAGTCACCAGCCATGAAAAATCACCTACCAATAAAGTGCAAAGCTAATGAAAAAGGGAAAGCTTTCAGAAAGCGTTGCAAAGTGTGCTTTGATAGAGGACAAAGAAAAGATTCGATCTACTATTGCCCCCATTGCCCTGGAAATCCTGCACTTTGTTTGGAACCGTGTTTTAGGCAGTTTCATCAATAAAATAAATATAAATAAATTTGTTTGTGTCCGTGTTTTCTTGCCTAAAACTAGTGCATATCATCAACAGAAACTAAATGTGATTTTATCTAAAAGTGTCGTGTGCTAATCACGCATATCACACATCGACATCCATCGGCTCCTGAGGTCAGTCAACGAATTTGTTAAGGCGGCAGCGAAAGTGTTAAAGCATCCAGTTTCTTCTTGAAAATAGTCACAAAAGTGGCAGCCACTACGTCGTCATCTAACGCATTCCACGAGTTCACCACTTTGCAAGTAAAGAATTCATGTCTTGACCTGAGACTCACCTGCGGTTTACTTTAGTTGATTACCATCGTTCTCTTGATTCCGTCGAACTGTGCGAAAACCTACCACACTCGACATTATCTATTCCTTCATTATTCTGTAAAGCCAGAATGAGACCACCCCTCCTTAACCTTCTCTCGAGCGAGTACAGTCCCAGCACTTCTAAACGCTTCTCGTACGGAATTCCCCTAATCTCCTTAATCATCTTGTAGCCGTCTTATGTACCCCCCCGAGCGCCAACAAATCGCCCTCGACGCTTCCCCATTAATCACCACGAGTGGGGGAGCTTGGGCCTACATCGCAGTAGGCTGCCCATGTAGACCCAACGGCGACAGACAACATGTCATGTCTCAGGATGAGACATCTATCTCAGGTACTTAAAAAGCTTCCCACATAATTAGAAGGATGGGGGAGTATGTCGCCACGATTACAAACAAAAAAGCTTTCTACATGATGCGAGATAGCGACTATACAGCTGCTATTTCAGTGGGATCATGGAGTGACTCATTAATTTAATACCCCAGTACCTATCCTGCGGTACTTGATCCATTTCGATTGAGGACGTAAAGCAAGAAACTCGAATTTCTCAAATAATTTGTTTAAACGGGTTAAGAAGTCCAAGGAGACTCCTTTTAATCGTGAAGGAAAGGTTCAAATAGTGGCTTCACTCAATAGGGCGAGGATGACGAATACAGTTTTCTTTTGATTGTGGAGGCTACGTCTGGTTCCACTTCAAGGGGAGGTTCGGGTGTGATGGTACATATAATCATCTGTGTCTTGTCGGACAAGCACTTCCATCTTCTAATATATATAACGATCGTGACTGACTGACTGACTGACCCTAATTCTAACAATGTTCTAGAGAAGTTAGAAATCTGAAATTTGGTACACCAATAGTTATTGGGATGTAGAGTTCAGAAAAAATCCGACTTTGGAGGTACATCTCCAGGGGGACTGATTTCGCAAGCCTAGGCCTAGCCTCCCAGACGGAGGTTTAGGCCTCCCCATACACGCGTCACTTCCACTGTCATTTGAAGGAAGTGTATGTAACTGCTAGGTTGTTCACTAAGGAGGAATTTCGACTTCGAGGCGGGTGGGGTTACATGCTCTGGGGCAATTTCAAAGGGTGCTGATTTCGCAGGCCTAGGCCTAACCCATGGTTGGACGTTAAGGCCAATACGATTTTCATGAACAATTTACATGTCACTTATACCTGTGCCAAGTTTCATCTTTTCCATTTCTGTCCAATTCCCCACAACAATTTCTTTTTCAAAACATCGCCCCTCGAAAATATTCCCCCAATGGGATGTATCGAGACTTAACATTTTTATTTAACTCTGTCTCAGTAGTCACATTCATGCAAAGTTTCAGCTTTCATCAGTTTAACTGATGCAAAAAAAACTAGTTGAAAACATCTCCATTTGAAATTTGTGCCCCCAGGGCATTTCCAAAGTCGGAACTTTTCTACAATGTAGCATCCCAATACCTAGGTAGGTAGTTATGTACTAGGTTTCATCTTTCCACTCCGCTTAATACCCCAGGACAAAAAGAATACTTGAAAACGTCGGCTCACAAAAATATGCCCCAAGGGCATGCATCTGAAAATTTTCATTTTTTCCTTAACTCTTCGTCTCGGTAGGCACGTCCATACCAAGTTTTAGGTTTCCATGTCTCTCCGTTTTACTCAAGCAAAAATAATGTTATGGTGGTTGAATGAGCAACGGGACATGGAAAGAAAAAAAAGGGGAAAGAAAGCCGGGAGTTGAACCTGGACCATCTAATTGCCAGTCAGAGATGCTACTACTACACCACAGAACGCAGCACCTCCACTTGACTCTCTGAATGCCATCTTCATCTGTCACAACATATATTGAAGAAAAACGTTTCCCCCAATATGTGTACCCACAGGGCATGTACCTCCAAAGTCGGATTTTTTTCTGAACTCTGCATTCCAAAAGGTGCATGTGTACCAAGGTTCAGCTTTCTAACCCTTCTAGAACATGGTTAGAATTAGCGTCAATTAGTCAGTCAGTCAGTTACGATCGTCTATATATATTAGATGCAGGACGTTTAGACCAATGCCATTTCTAACCTCATACATCATCTAAGCAGGAACGTATTAGTAAATAAGTCATAAATTGCCTTCGTGAATGACGTATTTTCTCATGTATGATGCAACTGTATGTAGCATTAGGTAGAGTTAGAAAAAGGGGTTGCATAAAAGCACTAGTGCCTAAATATAGACATTGAGATAATGAGAGAACTCACCATACAGTGAGCGTTGTCTATAAAGAGTTATTACGTTAAAACTCTCACGTGGCTTATGTGGTTCATGTGACTGCAATTATTCACTTCTACTTTTTTGGAGATCGATATGCAATCAATAGTGTGTCGACGATAGACAGGGATTAAATTCCCTAATGGAACACTAAACAACGCACTTACGAATGTTACTTGGTGATCCTCATGCTACAAGTCACATGGCATTATTAAGAATATGTTCTAAGGCACCTTTTTTAAGGTGTCATAGCCGAAGGTGTGGGAGTTGAACTCATGAGTAAATGATTTTGACTACTACTTTGGTTTAACTAATACTAGGGGTGAGCATCGAAAACGGATGCCTTAAACAAAAATACATTAGTAATTTCCTTTGGTCGCAGAGCGCCGAAGGCGCAGCAATGGTGAGTTTGTTTGCCCGAAGGGCAAACAAACTCGCTAGTATCGGATAATGACCCTGAGTGATGAGTGAAATCACAATGAGGCTCAAATCCCATATGGAATTTGAATGCCTCAAAATCTGACAATCGAGTGAAGTATTTCTCCCCGAAATACTTCAACCCTGACCAAGAGAGATTCGGAGGGATGGTCCCAAGTAGAAGAAATGAGCAAATACCTGAACTACGTAAATTCATGTCAGCTGAGAATGTATCAATGTATCATGTATCATAATGAAAATGAATAACCAGATGACAGTCATTGCTTTGGAGAGGTTGAGATAATTAAATAAAATGTTATGGAAAAGTTAAACAAAATGGGAAAAGTCGAACTTTGTGAATGACCTTTGAGGCATGAACAGTTCATTGAAAACACGAATACTGGACGTCACAAGTAATTTAATCCAAGACGCTACAATTGTAATACCTGTACATTGTATTAGGTGATACAGCCACAACATAGTATCAGCTTGAATGTATTTAAATTGTAACATGTGTCCCAATTCAAATGTACTGCAGGCATATTTCCAGATTTGGAGTTCATGACAGTTTTTCATTGGATAAACTTAGCTTGATGAATGTGATTTATCCAGATTACATTTCTCCCTTTACTTACAGGTTCATTATTTCCTTTCGATTTGAGTCAGAAATACCAGTAGCTTGCAAACTTGAATATTGTCATGCTACAGATAATTGATGAATCAAGCATAACTAGACTTGACTAATGAAAAGGACACCTACATAAGTAACTGGATGAATTCATCCATTTCAGGTTGTTTGCCGCATAGTGAATCGCCCCTCTCCCAAACCAGAAAGGGGTCCCATTATGATGACGGGAAACTTCTTAGGGGAGAATCCAAAGTCAGAGAAGAGTTACGAGTTCGTGAATCCCGAAATCCATGCCATAATACCTTCCTTCGGACCGAAATCGGGAGGAACCCTGCTACAAATCTATGGGAAACATTTAAATGCTGGCAGAAACGTTTCCGCTACCTTGGGTTCTTCAAAATGCGAGGAATTGAAAAGGTCAGTGTTATACCAAGGAGTAGCAAACGTGGAAACATGGAATTGCTGAATATGGGATACTATTTTTCTGATTATCCTATGATTTCATCCTATAATTATCCTATAATTGTGGCAGAATTAAAGGACCTGTTCCTCGCCTCTACTAATTCTAATACTTTATTTCGAAGAGGTTAAAAGCTACGGTGGTGGTGGCGGTCGTGGCTGTCACCCCCAACGCGCGGGCCTACGATGCTATGCCATTCTGGGTCATAGGCTAGGCCATCCAACGCTCAAAGCGCCAGGTCCATGAAGCTATGCTATTCTAGGTCATAGGCTTGGCCATCCAATGCACTGAGCGCCGGGTCCATCGAGCTATGTCAGTTTGAGCCATAGACTGGGGCTCATTCTATTATTTCCATAAGCATCATACTTAGCTGTGTCAATCACAGGATGCTACTAGCTGAATGCGTGTCACGTATTCAGTGATCGACTGCAAGTTCTTCATTTAAATACATTCTTTGCTGAAGTGTTTTATTTTTTCCGTTAGGTCAGGCGTGGCGGTTCTCGCCATCGCTTCCATGCAATAGTTTTCTGTTTGCGTTTTCTTTCATCACCGATTTATTTGATTTCCCATGATTGATGAAGTCAAAATAGTCTAAAACGTCCGTTTCATATGTCGCGCGAACGAGGTGCGCCTCCCATCAACATGGTGGCGATTTTTGCGAGGTGAGGTTGAACGCGAAGAAGAAATGTTGGAGGTCCCACAGGAAGGCGATGAGGTAGTTGTTGCTGGTAAAAAACGGTGCGATTGGTGCAGGCGCGGAAACAAAGTTTGCCACTGCATTTGCGCTGCGAAGTGCCTAAATCGGTGCTAGCCGTAATGACTAGAAACAGTGATGAACAGCAAGCAGATGTAAGTAGGGAGCTTAGGGCCGCTTAAACCGCTGAACGGCAAGAGGCAGTGAGTGCTCAGCTCCGGAATAGGAGAGCCGTGCAGCCAGCTAAGCAACTTGATGCAAGGTTTGCATTTTCAGGAATTAGTCTTTAGCATTGTGCCGCACATGCACTAACATCCCTCTGTGCCGTCGAACAAGTTCTTGGGAACGGTCCGTACTGTTTCAGAATCATTGGTGTCTGTACTGTACGCTAACGCTAATAGCCGATGAGCTAATCGGTGATGCAAGAGTGTTGAATGTGCTAGGAAAACGAAATCAGCAATGTCGTCTTGAGTCATGAAAACGTGCTAAACCAAGGCGTTCACAAAGGTGATTGTATCAATCAGTTCGAATATCACGATGATGGTGTTTAGGAGCAGAATCTCCCTGTGTACTGCAAACTATATGTGTATAAATGTAATGAAGCGGTTCAGTTCTGAATGGTAATGCAATGAACATAGGATTGTCAAGAAGTTATGCTCACAATAGACTATTCAAAAATCTGCGGCCGCTAGTAATATCTTAATCTGAAGCTAAATCTTAGTTTAAGTCTGACCCTAAATAAAAATCGTAACTTAACCTAAACTTATTCTGAAAGGATTGCAAAAAAGAGTTTGCTGTTCATCATTTTAGTGCCTTCATAACGCGCTTGTACGCAGGGTGTTGTGAGGATGGCAATGGGGACAAATCCGGAACTACTGATCAGATCTGGAGGATGGGACATCCATGAACTGTGGCGCAACCGAAGGGGTTTCCTACTCCAGCTTGGGACTGCTTGAGAAGTGAAACCCGTTTAAGATCTAAATCGCAGCTCATTATAGATGATTATTTGCTACATTTCTGTGGAATGATGTTGAACTTCCATACGATATCAAACAATAAGAGTTCCATCTCATCATTCTAATAATTGGACAACATTTAGATAGGGTCGGACCCTGTCTAATAATGTTCCCCATTTGAAATAAGTATGAGCAGTCGTCTGGGTAAAAAAAATGTTTTTTTCTTGTTATGCTTGTTTTAGATTAGAAAAAGTTTATATTTATATTTAGACTTAGGTTGCGCTTAGCAAAGGCGAGGAACAGGCCACTGATATACAAGGTAAAAGCAACATACCTGCAGAACAGAAATTCCCATGATAATTACCTTATCTCCTCTATGGATAATAAATAAGTAATGTGAGATGGAGTTTCTCAGCCTCCAGAGCATTGATGAACGTCAGTTTCCCTTACCATGTTATAACTTCAATGGCAATTTTTAAATGTACCACAATTGCCCAGAAAGCAATTTTAAAACTTAGCAATGCATAACATTTGATAATGAAAGGAAATTTGGACTTTGTTGTTTGTCACTTAATAATAACTCATCTAATGAACTCGACACAAATTATCTTATACATTAAAAAACAAAATGCAGACATCGATACCTAGGCACGATATCCGTCAAAACCACAGGACGGGACAGCATCCATCACGCTCAGCCTAGGTTAACACAATCTAATTTAATTTGTCATGGCGAAATCGTGCACGGGAAGCAACAAAAAATACATTTTTTGTCCCCTTTAACTCAACATCTTTCGCTTGGTTTGTGTCTTTCGAAACTTCTGAGTAGTGGCTACCAAGAGCGAAAAAAAAATGCAATTCATATCGAAAAGCGAGATTCAGTAGTCTCCACCAACCGGGGAGATGGAATTTCGAATTTGCTGGACCGATTCCGTGTTGAGAGAGTAAGAAGTATGCCGAATTTTGTTCCTGTTGATGCTCTCAGAGAGGAATACGTGGCAGTTGAATATTGTCGCCCGATAGGGCTGAAGAAAGGTAATGAGCGCTACCCCGCCCATTGATATTACTGGTTAATGAAATATTTCTTTTAGAGTAGCAATTATATTCCAAACAAAACTCGCGAGAGTAGGAATTTGAGCGCTCTATGATGTAAAGTGATTAATCATTTCTCAGAAGCATGGGAATGTTGTGCTCGTTAGGTCTATAGTAATTAGATCCCGCGGGGATGGACATAGATTTTTCAAACATATTAATCATGCAAAATACTCTGTACCTACGTCGAGGAAATGCTAGAATAACTCAGTTGAAATCTCCTACGGATACTTTCCCGAAAATGATTTATTTACATAGGAGCTAAGTTGGGGACTGACCTCTTTCCCTGGAAGTGGCTGAATGCCAGGGCCCTCGCCAATCCCAGTAGAACCCTCCTGTGTGAGGGTTGGCAAAATACAAGAAAGGAAGAAAGCTAATATAAAACTATGGGAATGTGTTCTGTGTCCTATAGTCCCGGTCTTGGACCGAAGTTCCTCCCTTCTTGTTTGAGTGCATATTCCTTAAGGAAGAGAAACAAAGGAAGCCGCGAATGAACAAATGAGGCCTTCTTGTGAAATTGTAGGAGATAGCTGAGTTGAGGCTATTTCCAAACCCAAGTTTAGGTGAAATTCGACCCTGTCGATTTGCGTGGATAATCATTACCTGAGATTTTGATGTCTAAGGGGGGGATGTGGGGTCTGACTAGCTAAGCACTATTTGCAAGTGCCAGCTGTCCAAAGAAAACGTAATTAGGCTCCCTGCTTGCCTTGAATGGCATGCACGTTTCGAAAAGGAAGAGGGAAAAGTGATTCCATAATAATTCAGCTGATCCGTCTTAAAATAGGGTATACGGCTATCGTATTTGACGTTTCAGCAAGAAGTTCATTGAATAAACCGTTAGTCGCAAGTTGATCGCCTATATCAACACAGATGTTGACCGACCAGGTATCGTAGCAGACCTCCGATCGGGAAACCCTCTGAGGATACCTTCGGAAAAATAATGGAACGATCCTTCATTTGATACAGATTTGTCTTGTCTTTCGAATGGTGGAAACTGCATTCGATGAGATCTAGCCTTCATGTTATTAAAGTTCAAAAAGCAGGGAAGACTTTTGATTCACCTTGCATTTGAAGTGCTTCTCCACTGAGGGGGTCGTTCCCGGAGAGCTGGTGAAGTTCGTGTCTAGGGAAAGCCCTGTGCCAACGGCACTTCTACTGTAGAAAATTGCTGGGAAGAGAACGAGAGTAAGAGCAAAGGAAAATGTAGGGGGAGAGAAGGGAGAAAGAAAGGAGTGGCGAGAAGGGGAGAGGGAGAGAGAGAGGGAGAGGGAGAGAGACTTCAGAAGGAGGGGGAGGGTCTTCAGGGGATTCGTATTAGTCAGCAATTCTTTGCTCCGGGCTGTGAGGCGACGGTGTATGCTGAATTTGGGTATCCAGCGCGGTAAGAGCGTTTCAGCCAACTGGTGCTTTTTCATGAAAAGCGAGGATGTCGTTTTGGACGTCCTAATGGTAATTTTCCTAAACATTTCTGGCAGATAAACCAATTACAAAACAGAGGAAACAAAATGCTCTGTTATCGTGTAACGAGTCACCATGATTTTCAGAGACTACCACCCATGTAAGACCTGAGTGTGTTTACATAAACTTTTCTTTAATGGTATTGCCAACGTTCCATGAACGTCCTTGGGAACGTTCTATTGACTCATTAAATGGCTAAAATGTTAAGTGCTCATAAACAGCTTAACTGGTGCATTTCCAGAAAGACACTCATTATTCAACGACAAGTATTGAACCCTTTTCCAAGAAAATGGTTCAATGAGTTTTCCCTTTCAGTCCTTTAATTTGCAATTGGATGATGCCCACAAGGATGTTCTCCTTAGAAATGAGAATTTGGCGGTATGCAAGACCCCAAGCCAGAATGAGACAGGAGACATGAAGTTCCAGATGGACTTCGATTCCAGGAAAAAGGGTGAATTGAACTTCACATACCTGGAGGATCCAGTCATATCGTATGTCTTTTCTGGGGGATCTCAGCAGGATGAGAGACCCAGGACCATCGCGTCAGGTGGAATTCGCATCCACGTGATGGGAGAACACCTTCAGTCCGTCTACAAGCCATCTATCTGTTTTAATGGAACGACTTTTTGTGAAGTGAGACCTTTCGCGATGTTCCTCTTCTCCACGTTGCAGTGATACCTTCACACATTGATGGGCGTACTATGCCGTTTACAAATAAAAATGCCCCCAAAATTGTAAACATCACTATATTATTCAGCGTATTGTATAAGACTATTTGCATCTTGTAAGCTCTTGACTTTCTTTTGACAATTATTCTCTTTTCATACATCCACTGCATTGTACAATTAATTGTAGCTCTCAGCCTAATAACAGTCAGCGAGTTAATTTCCTAAGCCTAATACGTTGCCTGCATCATGCTTCCAGGAATGTCAAGCTGAAAACGAAACATCCATGCGATGTTTGAGCCCAGCCATGGAAGAGGAATTTTATCCGGCAGTCTTGACCTACGGGTTTGTTGATCTACCACACTTTTGGATGTCACTGTACCCGTCAAAAAATGAAGAAGTCCTAGGGTAGATGATGTTAAAACTTCCGCACTTTGAAGTGAATTCTCCGATAGAGTGAGACCTACATTCACACAGCCATTCTCGTCGGAGGGCGGGTCCTTCTCCTTATACAAAGTATTCGCCAGAACTATGAAAATTGCACAGCGTGTTGTCCATAATACTGAAGCATGATCCAAGACCTGGAGAGGTCTTCATCCCCTCATACTCTCCTATTTCTTTTATGCACATTCAAAGTTCACTTCAAATAATACCGCGAAATCCCAGTGGCACCTGGGCCCTTTGCTATGGACATTACATAGGAGTTTCCATTACATTTAGTTATCATTAAACGATGTATTTCAGCTCTAGCTATTTGCTCTAGTATCAGGAAGCGAAAACGCCAGTATACCTGGTATTCTTATTAAAAAGCAACACAGGACACATCCAATCGCTGCATCATTTCTTTCAAAGTCATTCCAGTCGTAATGGGGCAAATAATCACATGGTTCACTGGTGTCCTTTCTTGACATTAGCTTAAAGTCATGAGGATCCTAATACCCCTGCAGCTAATAGAGGCTAATGCGGAAAGCCTGGCTTCGTGGGTGGACATCAATACATTTTTCTTTAAGTTTAGCGCGCACACCCATTAAGCGTCTCAAGGAGATACTTTTTCTGCGCGCTTTAAAAGTCCATTGCCAACTGGCTTGGTCATCGAGAACCACCCGCAGTCTTGAGGGCCTTCTGCAAGAACTTGAAGGAACATATATGGAAACAAATTTAAAAAGTGCTTTATATGGATCGGAAGCCTGAGCTTAACTGGTATTCTCATTCGATCCGTGCGTTCCTATGATGCCGTATGAGCTTATTGTCTTTTTTTGTACGCGGAATGCCTCAGCTCTCTTCCCTCTGGCAAATTAATACATCCCAACCCTCCCACGAAAGTCGATTTTGGACTTGTTATTTTAAGTTTCTCAGATTCATATTGTTAAATGTTATTTCTAGTGAAGCAATTCATGACTTCCTAACAACCAAAAATCCTTAAGGCCTCGATGTAGAAGTACGTCATATATTTTTCGGTGTCTGTAATACTACAATAATAATGAATTCCAATTAGAACTAACAACTACAATTGTCGTGTTTGTAGGTCACGATTCGCAGTAAGTCAAATTCTATTTGCAATTTTCAACGAATGCTAGGAATGATTACTCGACAATTAGGCCTGGCGTCCTTAAGATGCCTGCACCATGAATGGTTTCTACTTATTACCATCCTATCATTAGTACTCTTCTCATTATACTTCATAGGGACACAACCTCGACCTTGGAGTTTCCCTGGAAGAGATTGAAGTATGGATCGGAAAGGAAAAGTGCAAGGTGACCTCTCTGTCTAGGACCCAGTTGATCTGCTTGCTACCAGACAGGCAACCTAGGGGAGGCTTCGATGGAAATCCACCTCTTCTCACTGTCAGTGCATATATTTAAACTCGTTTTGCCACAGCGTTATTCTCTACGCCACCACCTTCTTAGGCAACATTCCTATCTGCACCTTAGAATTGCTTGCTTGAGTTTTTGTTCTGATGAAGGCCATAGTTGACTTTTCCAACAAAGAACGTCAACAGGAATTTTTAATATGTATATACAGTTTTCTCATACAGGTAAGACAGAAAATGCCCTCACTTGCTAAAACTTTTAATGTTGCGCACTATTATGGTGATTAACCTAATCTATAAACCTAATATTTACATGGCACCAGATACTAACTGTAAGTTTGACATCAACGAAATCATTCAAGTTCATGCAAGAAAAACTTACACAACCTTGGAAAAGGGACCGTTGTGGATTTGTAGTGCCTCGTGTGGGTTAACCTTATGTTGTTCCAACATGTCCCAAGCTATTCGTTGGTTCGATATTTAATTTTGGTTGAGACTTAAAGCGAGTGGAAGACGGATCAGAACAGAGGGAAGTTTACACGTTCACCCTTCGAAAAACAGGAAGACCTAGTCCTAAAATAGTTAAAGGCAATGAATAAAAGGGGAGGTGGCTTTTAGGGTTACCGGCGTTGGCCTGGCCCCTTTTGAATCTGATAGGGGTTCAGGATCTTTTAAATTTGGGGGACAGCACTGGAGGTTGAACTGGAGGCCGAAAATTATGTTTGTGATGAATCGGATGAACAGGTGTGATCAGGGGGTCGGGGTGAAGCAGGCAGAAATGGAGACACGTTTGGAGATCCCACAAATGAATCATTTTGAATGACGTCTAATCCCTAGACCTAAAATAAGCTCACATCAAATTTGGCTCAGTCTCATGGCTAAACATTAAAAAACCAGGCCAGAAACCCTCATCTAAGACCGTTTGAAATCGGAAATTGAATAGGAAGAGAGAAAGCATATACTGTACAGCAACAGAAGCCGGAAATTCAAGACCCCTTTAGGTCTTGCGCTACAAGCGTCATTCCCCTTTCGACATGGGTGCCATGGCCATAAATTAAACTAGAACATTAGTCATGTAGTTCTTGACCCTCACATGAGCCTCAATGAACAAGAGAATCATAATGACTTAATTTAAGTAAATACTCTCCTATCACAGAAACCAACCAATAATTTAAAAAAATATAGAAATGACCGAGCCCACATAACAGAGATGGAATCAACTCGTCGAATCAGGAATATTTTGTCCTCTCTCCACTTAGGCTGAATGTGAAGCAATATACCCAACAGACAGCACTTATCATCAGTTACTATGCACTACGTTGTCATTTTCCTACATAGCAAAATATGCATGAAATGAACAACGCATTTTGTTTCAAGCCCATGAGAACAATAATTTGTGTGCTATTTTCTTCTATGCCCATATTAATTCAGAATTATTTGCCAAGCGATGGGAAAACTGTTTGAGATGCAGACTTTGATTATATACGGGTTCAAAGTCATACAATATGATACTCAGGATAATTTACTATCATCATCTATACATGTATAATATGATTGGGCCTCCGTGTGTATGTCTGTAAGTGCATGTGCGCATGTGCGGCGCCTTCATGTGTGCGCCGACACAAACAGCATGTTTATGTTAATTTTACGGAAAATGAATATAAATTTTTGTCCATTTCATATAATTTTTACACAAACCATTGTCAAGAAAATATCAACATGTTCGCAGAAATGTCACCTCTGTGATACGTAAACGGTGATATAAAATTAACGCCAATTTTACGTAAAATTGACATTTCCGCTAGCATTCCAACCAGCATGTTTACATTCATTTTACATAAGATTTATGCGAATTTTCCCCTGGCATTCATGCGTATTTAAAGAGTCAATCAGTACCATTGAAGACAACTGTTATACTGAATCTCCAATTCCGTTACGTTCTTCAAAACTCTAGGGTGGTTGGACGTGTATACGAGTACCCATCCTCACCAGCACTCAAGAGTACCGAAGTGACCTACTGCTTCCTCCTGCCGTACTGGAACCTCGGGAGGAGGATTAAATGTTCAAAGGAGCTCTCTTCCTTTCGGGATAGAGATGTAGTACTTGCGGGGATAGGATTCTACTCTTCCCTAATCCCGTGCATTGCTTTAATAAAAAGTTTAACTTCTGCATTTAATGCGTCCCTGAGTCATATATTATACATATATATAAATAATTTCATGTTTTCCATATGCAATATTCTACTTTTTATTACGCAATTCATGAATAGCATAATAAAAAGTAGAATGATGGTAAGAAAACCTGATACTATATCAGGAAAACCAGTACTTAATAGTAATTGTAGGATGCAGGGAACAAGGGGTCCATCTAGTGAGGAATCTTGTTACTGCAACTGCAGGATGCTCAGCTAAAGTTTCATATAGTTGGTGTGGGG